GCGATTGTGAAGTTATATGTGAATGGTGTGTGGACGGTGGCGGTGGTGAAAATGCAACTGGTGTTCCAGTTGTGGAAGAAGTTGTAGTGGTAGTAGGTGGTGGTGTTGATTTTTGTTCTTCGATGTTTCCTTTACATTCATCTTGTGATTCTGCAAATGATTTTATAGAAGCAACTGCTTCTGCTGTTAATCGTTCAATACGCTCTTGGTCAGTTTCTCCATGTATTTCTTCCATGGGAACGTCTGTTATTTCTCGTTCCTGTACTTGTTGTTTTTCACGTTCGTCATTATTAGGTGGTGACTGATTTGGATCCATTTTTCCTTGAGTTTTTTTTCTACTCTGTGTAATATTTATATAAAAGTCTCTTTTAAAACTCTCTCTTTGAGTCGTATTTTTTTACAGTGTTGGTTGTTGTGTTTTGATATTAAACGTGTATATTTTTTATCCAAATGGTTCCAAAGTAGAGATCAGGACCATGAATTTGTCAGACAAGGACGAAAGTATTAGCTCGACCAGTTTTGCTAAGAAAGAAAAAAACGTTGCGGAGTTTTTCAATGTACTTTTGTTTTGGCTCATATTTTGGCAATTGGTTGCACTTATATGCAAAATATCGCTAATGGGGTTCTTAATTAGTAAGTAGCCATAGTTCATAAGTGTCTAAAGTTACTATCTGTTATTTTTTATGGCTTATATCAGAAAAATAACATGCCAAGGCTGTCGTCATAAAAGTGTGATACTACAAAAATTTAAAGGGTCAGTTGGTGCTTCCTAGTGTTAACTATATATCTATACCTTGTTTACGAACATAGCACTCTTAAATTGCCTAGTAATACCAGCCACAGAGTTACAAAAACGGAAACCAGTTATAAGACTTTTACTTTCTCTTTTTGAACCCCATAGTAGCACCTGTGCCAACTAATTATTTAATGAACTATAAAGTCACTGATGTTATTTTTGTTATAGCCTTTTCTATATTATAACTCTTTTATTGTCCTTGAAAGGTGATATGATATAAAAACATTGACTCCTTAAAATAGTTACGACTATGTAGTAAATGCGTCCTTCTTTTTTAGCTACAATATGGTTGTATCAAACCTTTATTATGTAATTGACAACAACTATATGTCTACTATGTAAACACATAGTACATGTATGCCATAAGTAAAAAATATGTTAAAACCGACAGCTATATCATCTATTTAAAGATCCCATCCAACAATACGTCGTTTTTTTTCTCACCCTTATAATCACTCACAAAAAAGAGAAGTTATTTGTATAGAGCGACAGCAAAAAGAATATATGCAACCCGTTATAAACAACAATATTATTGATGTTGGGTAAAAATGCCACTAACATGAGGAGGGTAAATTATAGCACGTTTTTTTACCCTTTTATATAGCGCCTCTTAGTGACTTTTTCTTACTATCTGTTCAACTGCCATGTCAAGTAATGCTTGTCAATTGGTTTAAGACACTATCCTCCAGTAATTCGATGGTCATCAAATTGAAATATCAGATATAATAGTCAATTACTTTATCTTTTTTGTTGTTTACTATGGAAAATGTAAACTAGTGATTTTTCTTATCATTCACCAGATAGCAGCTTAGTATATTGGTACTAACAACATCAAATTTATCGGAAGCACGTTTTTGGTGAATACTATTGATAACAGCTAATCGTGTGCCTTTGAACTCGACGTGAATGTAAGGGTTGTATGTATACTTTTAAATTATCTTAGATATCTTGGTGCAGCTACTTTGAGCATTAAAAAAAATGCTGTCTGTTGTTTTTTACATGGATTTATGGCGCATTCGGCTGGTGCACAAGTCCTATGTTCTACACGGGTAGCTATTACAATCTATATTCTAAACACTGAGGGGTGAGATGCTACTTAAATTTTATATGGCAACATTTTGTTTGATTTTCTGTAGATCACACTGGTGAAACGTACAGCGTTAGCTTTAGTGCCCTTATTTATTTATTTTGCTGTCGCTATGATATACATTCACACTGAGTTAAATATTTTATAGAAGGAAACTATGACATTAAAAGATTAATTGTCGAGCTGACAACGGTGCAGATATTAAACAAGCTTTAAGGACTGCGTTCATCTCTCAATCTTTTCGTGGTATTCAATATAGTATGTCTAATCAAGAGGGTATCAATGTAGAGAAACTGCTCTTGTAGTTCGACCTTTTCTGAGCAGATTCCATACAAGTCAACTGGTTTTGAATACTTTACAAGATTGAAGGCTACCGAGAAGCTTTTCCAACAAATTAAGGCTCAAGACCTACAAAGCTTTACTGCTGTTCTTAACATCGAGATTTTTTTTCGTGAATATATTTTTTACTTGTTCAACTCACGTATAAATTAGAGGCTTAACCTATAAAGTCAACATTTGCGTTTATTATGAAGACTGCTGATAATAGTAACTCTTATTTTTAGTGAAATTGTGAGCAAGAGTGATTTTTTAATATCAGTATGGAATAATCAAGTTTATCATATTGTCTACGTGGGACTCCTTATATATTTTACTATTGCACGGATAGACTGGCTTAAAAATAAACAGTTAATTTTCCATTGGATGGATATACAACGTTGCCAATTTCCCGCATTCACCTGTTTTTTTAACAGGTGCAGTTCCCACTCACTATGACTACGTTTAATTGTTTATTATGCTTTGTTTTTAACGCTTCATTACTGTCCATGTGCAGTAGCAACTATTCATATCAATTTTCATGAGCAAAATCAAAGTATCATAATTCGAGAGCTATATTAAAAAGAAACATAATATGACGCAATACTGCATGCTGTTAAAGTTAAAATGGTCCATTTGAAAGACGCTAAGAATCGATTGCTAGTGTATCTAGCTACAAAATTACAACAACCAAGTTGAGCAATTAAAAAACAACCGTACTTCGAACAAAGCCATAACCAGGTTCGCGAGTGAGTTAACAATAATGATCTTCTTGATGGTCGAGTAAGGGTAACACACGTGAACAAATTGCTAAAGAAAATTCTGTAAATTATTTTCTTATTTATGCAACTAACAGGTAGTACATCATATGAAAATTTAGTAATATACCTACTACACATTTTTTTTTGTAATAGTAGCATCAATGTTCAGAGCATTTCAACACTCACAAGTAAGTAGCCCTTTTTAATCGCTCATAATATAGGAAATTGGAACTGATAATTTCACAAATTTAGAGAAATAGGCCTTTTTTTATAATAGTGAATAAGAATAAAAACAATAAGCCAACCATATAGAAGCAATAAAATACCCTGAAGAAACATTTCAATCCTAAAAAGTAGGTGCACCAACAGAACTTCTTCTCCATTGCTGCTCTTGAAGACTCAATCTGTACTGCACAAAATGAAAGATTAAACTATCAGGTTGAGCAGAAGATCGCGTTTGCTATTCATCATGATGGTTGTTGATAGATTATTTCAAAAAACCTCCTTCTCCTGTTGTGGTGGTTTTTTGTTGAGCACGCTGTTACAATTAATATATTAAAAATGTATTTTAGGTTTATTTATTTGTCGTATTAATATTTATGGCGGAACAGTACCAAGTTAAATAAAATAGAAATAGTAAGAGAAAGTAAGAGAAAGTAGAAAGTAAAAGAATAAAAGATAAAATGTTGATACCGTTTTTATTTAATAAAATGATCCACTATTTATATATTTCTAAAACTACTGCGGATGTAAATAATATAATGTATATAATAATAATAATTGATAATGTTATTACTGCGAATGATAATGATAATAATAATATTACTGCGGATGATAAGGAGATGTAAAATGCTCATAATGAATATGAGTGTCGTAGCTATAAAAAGTACTGTTTTTTTCCAAATTATTTGCGCTATGAGAATGATTATTTTGCGTTGTCTGGGGATTAAATTTGCGTTGGTAATTTTGCGCCAATGATTTTGCACCGAATTTTTTGCACCGAAGTATGTATGTCCAAACACTTAATATTTTTTATTGCCTCACCAAGGAATATATTATTAAAAATGATTATAAAAGAATTCCATATGAGCTATTCTAGAAATAATAATTAAAATAAAGTTATAAGCACCAAGGAAGTAAATATTTTGACGCAAAAACAGGAACGCAAAATCATTGGCGCAAAATTACCAACGCAAATTTAATCCCCAGACAACGCAAAATAATCTTTCTCATAGCGCAAAATTAATTTAGTTCAGCGCAAATAATTTGGAAAAAACCTGTAATGCTTCTACTTTTCCATTTGTGATACCTTTTGTAAACGTATTTTATTTTTATATTGCCACGTAGTTAATTCATATCACTGTCACATCATCATAATAATGATAATATACGTGTTTGTGACTGAGGGTTGACTACGTGTTCAAATAACTATTATGATGATGTGGCAGTGATATGAATTAACTACGTGGCAATATAAAAATAAAATACGTTTACAAAAGGTATCACAAATGGATAAAAAAAGGAAAAGTAGAAACATTACTACTTTCTATAGCTACGACAGCCGCATACTAAAAATAACCGATTGAGAAATACAACATGAAAGGTAACACTAAATATTTTAGCTACGACATAATATGAACAAGTACTTATTTGTCGTAGCCATAAATAGCAGTAACTCTATTTTCCTTTTTTATCCATTTGTGATACTTCTTTTGTAAACGTATTTTATTTTTATATTGCCACGTAGTTAATCTATATCACTGTCACATCATCATAATAATTATTCGAACACGTAGTCAACCTTCAGTCACGAACACGTATATTATCATTATTAGTTTATCATATATCTTATAAGTAGTTTAGAAAATATATAAATACTCCTTCACATTTCATATAATAAAAACATCATCTTTCAACTTATACTTTATTTATTTATTATCTTTTGTTCTATTCTATTTCTAATTGGCTACGGTGTTATCCGCCAAAATATATTACGACATATTTTCAAAATAAGACGTAGCAAAACCGTTTTACTATATGACACCCGAACCGGGACTCGAACCCGGGATCCTCTGATTAGGAGTCAGAAGCCTTAATCCTCTAGGCCATCCGGGCAACAATGCTTTTGTCGCGTCTGAAGCAGATTTTGTTTCCAGTTTCGCATCAGCTCCAAACGTGACGGCGAAGCGACGATTTAATCCAATTCAAGTGTCGAAATAAATTCTAACAGAATTGGTTGAGACACTCAAATAAAAAATATGAAATATGATTTGCTTTATCTTCTTTTTATTTAATGTCAGCGAAAAAATAATAAGTATAAAAATGAGTTCTAATGCTATAATATAATAATTGATCTTCTTTTTCGCTCGGTCAGCACCGCAAAATATGGACTCCAATTCAATCACTCAAAACGAACAACTTATTGCTATGCAACAAAGACTACTTCAATTAGAACAGATAGTAGCACAATCAAGCGCTCAACCTTCCGCAGAGCCCCTGTCATCCCCTAATGTTAATATGGAGGATGATGAAGAAGAGACCATGTCATCTCTACACTCATTACCAGTGCAACCTTCCTACTCTTGGTCCCCGTCACCTTTTTTGACTGAAATTCTTTCCTTAGACTCTTCATTGTTCCCAAATACAATGCTCACCGATGATGAGCGTCGCAAGACCATTGATCAATACCCAAATATTGACAACCTTCAATATCAACCACCGGATACAATCCCTACTGCCGCTCGTAAAATGAATAAATATCAAGCTAAACAAGATATGTCTCTTAAACGTTTACAATATTTACTCTCTGGGGTATTCCGACCTTTGGATGTCCTAGGTCTAGAAATTAGTCAAGATGTCAACAATGTCAATATTCAACGCTATTTGCATATGCTTAAGGATTGCAGAGAGCTATTACTAAATGTCTCTGCACAAATAAATGATATGCGTAACACTCTTGCTTTCCAAGCTATCAACCCATCTTTTTCCTCCTCTTCTACTCAGGGGAAAAATTTTACAATGGCTCCAGCTGATTTTCAAGCGGCTTTAATACAACAAACCAATGCCTCGCAAGCTGTCAAAACAGCTAGCGGTCTTCGTAATAAAAAACGTACCTTTAATCAAACTCAACCTCTTCAACCGCAGCAGTTTTTTCGATCAGGTCTGTCCTCTCAGCAGGGCGGTTACATCAACAACAACAACAACACCAAGACCAACAACACCAAGACCAACAACAACAGCACCAACACCTCTTGGCACAACAACACTCAGCATCGCAACATCAACGGCAACAACAAAGGAAAAGCGACCAACAACCCTTTTCGAAACCACCAACAATAAATTCGCCCTTACTCGTCAGGGGGCGTCTCACTCAGCACTATTCTCAGTGGATCACTCTTTCAATCGACGAATGGCTTCTCAAAACCATTCGTTTCGGTTTCAAAATTCCCTTCGTTTCACTACCTCCACTCCGCATGCTCCCTCAACCAACCATTCCGTACAATCACCAACAAGACCAACTTTTGGATCAAGAAATTTCACTTTTATTAGCCAAAGGCGCAATCGAAGAAATTATTCCAACAACGCCAGGGTTTTACAGCAGCATGTTTGTAATCCCGAAGAAAAACGGTGGCTCTCGTCCTGTTTTCAATCTCAAAAAACTCAACAATTATATTCAGGCACCACACTTCAAGATGGAAACTTTACAAGAAGTTACCAAACAAATCAAACGAAACAATTATCTCACATCCATCGACCTGTCAGATGCATTCCTTCATATTCCCGTTCATCAAGACTCTCGTCCTTATCTCCGTTTGAACTGGAAAGGCAAAACATACCAGTTTTGCACCACTCCCTTTGGCCTGTCATTGGTCCCTTGGTTATTCACCAAGCTCACGAAACCAATCCTCGAATGGGCTCGCTTACAAGGAATTCGTCTCAGTGCATATCTCGACGATTGGATCATCATCACGGACTCCAAAGCCCAAGCTACTCAGCATACTCAGTTAGTTGTCACGAAACTCGAGTCATTAGGGTGGATCATCAATCATGCCAAGTCAATTCTCAAACCGCAACAATCGCTCGAGCACCTCGGCTTCTTATTGGATACAACAAAAATGACAGCCCAACTACCAGGGAAAAAATTACGAGACTTACGCCGCAGTATACAACAAATCCTCAAGAAACCAATTCAATCACCACGTACAATTCACAGCCTTACTATGAGAATCCAATCAGCAACTTTTGCATTGATACCGGCTCGATTATACACACAACACCTTCTGCGGATGAAAAATCAGATGGTACGATCATCAGCAGATTGGGACAAACCACAGCAGCTACCAGTAGAATGTATTCAGGAACTTATATGGTGGAAAAACAATCTCATTCATTGGAACGGCAAAAGTATTCTACCACAAACACCTCAACAGACCGTTTACGTAGATGCCAGCAACAGTGGATGGGGTTGCCACTTACCTCTTCCCAACAACAAGCAACAAACAGCCTTCGGCCATTGGTCTCACCAAGAATCCCAAATGTCTATCAATTGGCGCGAACTCAAGGCTGCTTTTCTCGCTCTGAAGACATTCCCTCATCTCAAGAATATGCGCGTTCTTATTCGTACAGACAATACGACCTCAATGGCATATATGAACAAACAAGGTGGCACCCACTCCCTTCCTTTAATGGAATTAGCAACTCAATTATGGAAATGGTGCCTCAAACGAGGGATTACTATTCAATCTACTCATATTTCTGGAGTCAACAACACGATCGCCGACTTCGAATCTCGTCGCCCATATCGGAAAAACAATTGGATGATTGCTCGCTCGACCTTTGCAGCTCTTCAACGCCATCTAGGCCCAAACGATGTCGATCTCTTTGCTGACAGGATAACGAAACAATTACCAAGATACGTGTCCTGGCTTCCAGACCCGGGGAACTTATTCACCGACGCATTCACTATCCCTTGGACTCAATTTCACCACCCATATCTCAACCCACCTTGGAACCTTATCAGCCGCTGCCTGCAGAAGATCATTCAAGAGAATCTATCACAGGTCACAATGATCACGCCTTGGTGGCCCACCGCGCTTTGGTTCCCTACAATTCAAGCACTGAGCATCCGTTCACCTCTCATGCTCGAACCGTCAACAATTGTCCTACCATCACCAACAGCAATCTGGCCTATGACCAACAGTACTTGGAAACTCGCCGTTTGGAGCTTATCCGTTCAAAATATCAGCAATCAGATTTAAATGAAAATGCTCAATCGATTTTTATTAACCATCGGCTACAAGATAATTCCACTAATAAATCATACAAACCAGGACAACTTTTATTTATTAAATGGTGCATTGAACAACAAATTTCACCACAATTTTTTACTCCAGCTCACCTTATCAATTTTTTGAGTGATATGTATATCACTCACTCTTATGCGATTTCGACCTTACAACGTATGCGCTCAGCAGTAACAAATTTACATCACAACCCAAGCCTCTTACACGAAGATGATCGCCTTAATTCATTTATTACTACCCTTCTTCGACAAGCACCACCTATTCGTTTACATCGATCAACTATCAATCTTCAACCTACTATTGACTATTTACGATCTTTAGATAGTCGTACTATTACTCTCGCCACATTACAAAGCAAGCTTGCCTTTCTTCTTGGTGTTACTTGTTTTCTTCGACCCTCTGACTTACAACGTATACCACTTGCTTCTGTTTCCATCTCTGATTCTTCTATTCTTTCTTTTGAAGTTCACTCTCCTAAGGAAAAACGTAAACGACGTCAAATCATCAAGTCATTCCAAGTCAAGGCTCATACTATTCCTAGTCTCTGTCCGATACATACCTTCCATTTCTTTCGCGCAAGACGTCCCATTTGTCAAGCTACTACTTTGTTCGTCAACTCTTTACAACCGGACAAAGTAATTAGTACTCGAACAATCCACTCTTGGATTAAAAACTTATCAAACGGTCTACTGATGAAAAACGTGTTTCTTTACGTTCCATTGCCTCTTCATTAGCTCTTCAATCGGGTATTCCCAAAGAAGACATTGTTACTATGGGCAACTGGTCCTCCTCATCTACTTTTGAGAATCATTATCGTCGGGAACATTTATCTACCTTTGATTTTACCAATACTCTAATCACCAGCGGCGACCTTCTTGACGATGATTCCAATGACGAAGAGGTTTTCTATGATGCAACCGATCATACTATGGTTTCTGATTAAAAAAAAAAAAAAAAAAAAAAAAAAAACATTATCTTTCATATTTCAAAATTACTTGTATTTTATTCTCTGGATTAGCAAATCATATTTCATATTTTTATTTGAGTGTCTCAACCAATTCTGTTAGAATTTATTTCGACACTTGAATTGTATAGTTAGACATGAAAATAAAAAATATGAAATATGATTTCCCCACCCTACCCTTCCCTTTTCTGACCTCGCTTAGAGATCAATTATTATATTATAGCATTAGAACTCATTTTTATACTTATTATTTTTTCGCTGACATTAAATAAAAAGAAGATAAAGCAAATCATATTTCATATTTTTTATTTTCATGTCTAACTATACAAGAATCCGGGTTGTCGCCGAGTAAATACTTCTGACTAAGGTATTTACCCGTTGTTCCCTTTGCCCCCCTATCCACATTTATATTATTTATTATTATTACCTTCCATGTTTCCTCCATTTTTAATATTGTTTTCTTTTATGATATCATGGAAGATCATTTTAATGATCTGTATTCTATTATCTTTGTATTGCCTCTCATTGATCATATTGATCAATATTCTGTTTTGATTTATTTTGATTTTCGTTATTTCTTAATATTAGCATGATAACGATCATGCAGTTTTGCATAATATTATTATTTAAATATATTATCGTTTCATATTCTTATTTGAAAATATTATTATTTTTATTTTGTTTTTATATAAATACCACTCAAAATAATAATAATAAAAGAACGAACTTAACAACTAAAGTAATAACTAAATTATCAACGGAATTATCAGTTAGTCTACTTGTTTCTTATTTTACTTCCTCACCTTCTTTATAATCATTTCCCTTGTGGCATAATTTATTGTGTTTCA